GACCAGATCACAGTGAACACTGTAACCGAGATCACAGTGAACGCCGTGAAGTAGTTCACAGCAAACGCTGTGAATTGACCTACAGTGAAAACTGGTAATAAATTAACGGCATTTACAGGACATTTTTGGTAGAGTGTAGGGGTGGCTGGGCGTCTCTGGGGGCTCGAAGGCAAAGCCCAGTGCCGCCTGGTGGCCAGGTTTGGAACTACAAAGGAGTTGGCCTCAGCAGACGACACCCATGGCCGGGCGCGGGCCGGGCCGACGAGCAGACGGCAGCTTCCTTCACAACAATAAGTTGATTCTTTTACATAAATTTTATTTTGATTAACATAGATGTGTTTCCTTGCTTTCCCAACCATTTTTGAAATGCATCTACGAATATTTCCATTGAAAAACAGCAATTTTTACACATTAGTCCGAGGTGTCACATGGTGCCCAGGGGCTGTCACATGGTGAACTCGGTGGTACACCATGTGACATTTTACATGCACCCATTCAAACTGGGATACCTTCGCAACCAATCGAGATAAAATGAAAAGCTCAACGGGACTTTGAAGCTAAGGCTCCCCTCTTTGTCGGCACAAGCAGTATGGATACGTGCAATTGTTAGTTTAGTGTTGGCGGGCATCCGCCTAAAAGTGTCACATAGTACCCCACCTTCCCTTACTTCGGTGAAAGGCTGGCTGCACTGTGGAGGAAGTTTTCCTTGGACAAACTATCTAAAAGGTTCGATGAGTTCTCAGAAGTAAGTGAGTTACAAGGACAGAGTCATCACCTCAAAAGGAGGAGTCTTACCGTTAAATGAAGAATTTTTATGAGAGTATGGATATTTTTCACTATGGTCCAATAAAGAATGTTCAGCACAAGATACAGTAAGAGGGCCGATTCGGACCATAGCCATGAAAACCATCATTTCGAGTCCTTTTCACGTCCTCAAATTGTACACCCTTGAAACCTTACGAAGTATACTGAACATACACACGGACAAACTAATTTACTTTGTTATACGAAGATATAGTTCGTAAATTGCGAAGTATTTTCTTTGTAAGCTTATGTATGCTCAAAATACTTTGTTCTAACAAACTGCTTCGCTTTGTAAGGCCTGAACTAGTTTGTAAGGTTTTCCCAGTGTATGACACTCGTACATAACCGCGTATCTACCGTGGGATTCCCTGTGAAGACAGACAATCACTCAATGGAGGCTCGAATCAAACTCATCAAGACACCAATCGATTCCTCGTTTTAACAACCCGTTGGTATCACCGAGAGGTCGATTCGAGTATATATCATTCAACGCGCGCTACGCTCAAGACGCGGACTGACCGCCCCGCCCACACCACTGGAAGTGCTCTGCTCATCGTTGCAATCTGTCTGGCTATAAATGGCGCCGAATCGTTAGGGCTGGCCGATCCCGTTCCGCTCGGACGCCGTCTGCAGTGTCTGCAGCAGACTGAGAGTCGTTTTCATCGGTCCGTCTCTCTCGCACCCATACGGGGCAGCCCATGAGTGCGACAGAGACAGAGCGACGAAAACGACTCTCGGAATCAGTCTGCAGCGGGGCGGTTAAAGGGCAGTCTGGTCAGAATCACGGCCATGTGTCAACCTCGTCGGGAGAGACGGGGAGGAGGGGGAGGGGTTCCAGGCCGGTAGTCACCAGTGTGTCGACCAAAGCACACGTCACGTGGAGGGGGCCCAGTCCACCTGTGCAGTGGTTGGCTGCCCTGTGCGGTCATACTGGCGCCGGTTCATATTGTCATCACGTGGTCCCCCCCCCCTCCCTTCCTCCACTCCTCTCCACATCCGGTCATCCGTAGTCCATTCATACGCCACCGCATGCAGGCGCAGTGCAACTCGGCGTCCCGTCCCGTCCGGCAGGACCGCTGGACCGGCGCAAGTGCAAGGCAGTGCAAGTGCAAGGCAATTAGTGCAAGTGCAAGGCTGTGCAAGTGCAAGGCTGTGCAAGTGCAAGGCTGTGCAAGTGCAAGGCTGAGCAAGTGCAAGGCTGTGCGAGTGCAAGGCTGTGCAAGTCCAAGGCTGTGCAAGTGCAAGGCTGTGCGAGTGCAAGGCAGTGCAGGTGCAAGGCTGTGCAAGTTCAAGGCTGAGCAAGTGCAAGGCTGTGCAAGTTCAAGGCAGTGCAAGTGCAGGGCAACGCAATTAGTGCAAGTGCGAGGCTGTTCAAGAAGTGTAAGCGACGTCGCGGGTGAGGCGCGACTGGCAAGTAAAAGTGTTTTCAGTAGGTCAGCGTGCGCTGCGCATCCGCGCGCTAAATTATCCTGGTCAGCGTACAAAATAAAATCGTGCTACCAGCGAGTACTACGATTGCTACGACTACGTACTACGACTGCTAAAAAGCGAATGAGTCCATCACACTACAAGATCAAATGTGTGCTTAGTACACAGCTGTGGGAGCGTACTTGCAAGCACACATCTATAGGTGTATGCTTGCCAAGTACACATCTTTAGGTGTATGCTTGGACAAGCACACATCTATAGATGTATGCTTGGACAAGCACACAGCTGTAGGAGTATGCCTTTAAATGGGTGGGATTAAAGTGTGCTTGGCCAAGCATACACCTATAGATGTGTACTTGCCAAGCATACACCTGTAGCTGTGTGCTTGCCAAGCACACACCTACTCTAGAAACTGAAGAGAGTGCATGGCATGCTCCTCCTAGGAGTCAACCACAAAGCACACTCTTCCCAAGAGCATGCTTGCAAGCACACTCTTCCCAAGAGCATGCTTGCAAGCACACTCTTCCCAGGAGCATGCTTTCAAGCACTCTCCTTGCTTGCAAGCATGCTCCCAGGAAGAGCGTGCTTGCCAAGCATGCTCCTGGGAAGAGTGTGCTTGCAAGCATGCTCTTGGGAAGAGTGTGCTTTGTGGTTGACTCCTAGGAGGAGCATGCCATGCACTCTCTTCAGTTTCTAGAGTATAGATGTGTGCTTGTCCAAGCATACAGCTATAGATGTGTGCTTGCAAGTACGCTCCGATAGCTGTGTACTAAGCACACATTTCATCTTGTAGTGCATACGCAATGAATGAATGAATGAATGAATGAATGAATGAATGAATGAATGAATGAATGAATGAATGAATGAATGAATGAATGAATGGAGATACCATTTATGCAGCGCAACTGTATCTCTTTGGATTTACATTTTCGTGAATGCAATCGGACCGAGTGATGGCGGGCTGTACTATTTTACGTGCAATGATTGCGGTAGTGCAAGATTTCTCCTGTATTTGCAACACATTTCGTCGACTTACAAGCGGTTTTGCCGCCTGTATGTAGAAAGTGTCCATAATTACGCATAATTTGCATACCACGAATGTGAGAACCAGTTGCCCCTCGACTCCACGGAAGACTGAGACTCACCGTGGCGACGATTGCAGCCGCTCCTTGGGTGGTGGCGCCCTCTCTGCGTCGCCGCTACCCCGGACCGCGGCGATACTCCCCGCCGGGGGAAGCCCACCCTGCGCCGGGGGTAGCGCCACCGCCACGCCACCATGAGGGACACGGACTTGGCCTCAGCGGCGCTGCGGACCTGCGGGTGCGCCCATCGCTACCAACCCAAGCAGAACAACAACAGAACAGGTGAACTTGTCGTCATTAAATCTTCTGCACGCCGTCAATTGGCGTGACTTCCGGCAAAGCAAAAGTGGAGACCAATATCAGGCCTATCAAAACTTCCATTTGGAGCAACATTTTGGTTCGTTTCATAGTTTACATGGATGGAGAGCATGAGGATGGAAGTAGAGGCACTTGTAAAACAAATGAAAAGACTAAAATGCAGATACAAAGTTGCGGTTTTTAAGTGCTTGTCGAAATCACCGTAGGGTGCCGAAGTCGCCCCAATTAAATGCAGCCCCCTCACCGTCGTCATGACGCCGTGCTCGTTTCCAGGACGCAGCCAGTCCGCCACGCCGCGGTCCACGCCGACGACGGCCTTCTCCTTGAGCAGGCCGACCACGCCCACGTCCATGAGCCACGTACGTTGCACCTGCAAGGCAGAAATTTGACGTTACATTGCACCAACAAGAGTCGTTTCTTGAACCACGACAATTCAGACAAGTGAAATAACTTAAGACATCTGAGTAAATTTATAAGGGAACAAGTGAATTCACTTGAAGCGTATGAGTAAATTCATAAGTGATAACGAGAGACTTTACCTGAAACGTACAGGTAAATTCATAAGTGAAGAAGTAAATTTACTTGTCACGTACAAGGAATTTCAACGGATGCAAGTTTACCATCTTGGTTCGAGAAGGAGCTCTTTGTGGGGGTGTTCTTCTCACTTTGCTAAATCTGTCTCTCGCGCCGGCAGGCGGGATTTTCACCACTGACGGAAGAGCTTCGGTCGCTCTCAGAACCGCATCTTGACCTCTACCACAACGGCAGTGTCGCGGGGAGCACTAACAGGTAAAAAGGCTAACTACTAACTGATCGATTGAAACGAACTAAACTCCGCAGAGGCTGAGAAATTTCTTACTGTAAGCCAGTGCTTGTAAGCGTGCGCACAGTGGTTGTTGAGAATCGAACGAACTTTGACCTGGCTAAATGCTAAGCCGAGCTATGAAGCGGAACTTTTCTGTGAAAGTAAACCATCGTAGCAATAATTCCAGTGTGCTAAGCTTACACTCTCGACATCCTCTGACCTTCATTTCCGTGTTTTGACAGCAGTGAGCGCGCGAGCCGCCCCCGGGCGACGCACTGGAGCCGTCGGACGCCCGAGGAGCTGGCCCGACTAGCGCGACTCCGCAGCTCGTCCCGCTCCCCCGTGGCCCACTACGAACCGCCAGGGTCCCGTCCAGGATCCCGCGCGGGGCGCGTCCGTCGGTGGGCACCGGCTACGGCCACTCGTACTCGCTGCCGAGGCCCTTCGACACCACGCCGACGGGGTCCGGGCGGCCGCCGCAACCCGCGCAGCAGCCGCAGCAGGGCTGGGTGGCCGTCGGCGCCAGGTTCGAGCGCGCGCGGCCTCCGCCCCCGCAGGGCCCGCAGCACAACGGCGGCATCAAGTTCGAGAGGTCCAGGACGCCGTCGCAGAGCGGCGCCACGTACCACCGCGGCAGGAGCAGGAGCCGGGCCTCCGGCTGCACCTGCAACAGTGGGTGGGTGAGGACGTTAAAACGTCCTAAATAGAGATAGGAAACACGAATAAGTCCTCACTGCAAGAAAAAGTGTGGATAGTACAACAATAGTACAACAAAAACTGTGCAATAAAAGTACAACAGGGATTGTAGAAAGTACAACGAGAATTGTACAAACCACAACGAGCCCTGGACTGCACAGACACTACACGTCATGCCGTTCCATTGTACTTTGTACAACAATTGTTGTACTTGAAAAGTACACTAAATTCCTGATAAAAAATTTGCCAGAAATTTGTGTACTTTTGTTGTGGTTATTTCCTGCAGTGCTGCACTTCTCAAAACCTGACGCGAATAGAAAATTAACACTGAATACCCCGTTCTCAAGAGTGTGCTCAGTTCACACTTCGAAGAATCAATCGTGTGCTTTTATAAGCACGCACTTTCATATGTAAGCTAGGCTAGGCCTGCACACTGCACGCTATTGCACTTGACCGAGGAAACACCTCTCGGCGTGAACTCAGTAAGAATACGCCCGCGTAGAAGCGCCTATTTCAACTTCAACTCAATGCGCGTTTCAAAGTATCCACTGAAAAACGTCCCTCTGCATGGAATAACATCTGGTAAGAGGCCAAAAGGTTCTTTACAAAACTGAGAGTACTGTACAGTCAAACTCCTCGTTTTGTCCCTCTTCTGGGTCCTTCGTTTTGTCCCAGAGTCATCCCCACCACCGTGGCCCGGGTCGCGTCCCGCCGGCCGATGCCTGCCGTCGCTGGCCGGCCAAGGTAGGGATTACGGCGGCCTAATCCGCATCGGCCAGCCGGGCTCGGTCCTTCGTTTTGTCCAAAGCAACTCCCGGGTGGAGGGACAAAACGAGGAGTTTGACTGTACGTAGTTACTCGTCACCATCCTATTTCACTAATCAAAAGCCCTTTTTCTGGGAACAAGAACAAAGTTTTCTAGGTGTGATCAGTCAAGTACACACCTTGAAGTAAGGGCGTGCCAACAAGAACGCGTTTCAAAATGTGTACTATCGAGGATTTAATCCCGTGTCCAAAACAAAGCTAGAGATCCGTTGACACCACGTGCAAGAGAAAAGAACGTCACTATCGACCTCATGGACATCCGTCATTTCTCGCTGATCTCACCACGCCCACCTCGCCTACGCACGTCACAGTAAAAAGTCCTTTGATCGGGCGAAAATATAGCAGACTGAGATAAGGCCGAAAGGCAAGAACCCCGTCGGCCGAGGACCCAGACACGTCATAGCTGATGTTCAGTATCGCACATCGCGCGGCCCGAGCGGAAACGTATAAAGGCAAGCTTGTTGCACACTCCACACTCTGCTGCTGCTCTGGCAACGCACTGCTTCGTCGCGGAGACCCATTCCCTGTCGGTGAGTGAGAGAGAGAGAGCGCTTGTAGACTGCAGGTGCACTAGAAAGGAACGTTGTCAATGACAAAATTATTGATGCACGATCATTCCATCATAAATTGATGCCTTCACCAAAAATTGGTGATGTATGAGAGTCAGACAACATTCTCAACCAGGTGTGATATCAAAGTTATCATCAGCTAGGTGTGCCACCATTATTTGTTCAGTAGGAGTGATGATGAATTACTGGAAGATGTCACTTAAAATGCTTGATGTCAACTATTCGGAGTCACAACATTATCGTCTTCGACGAGGTCTGACGACATTATTGTCAACAACTAGGCGTGACAACATCATCGACTTTATAGTGACATCATTTCGGTCGAGAACTATTTGTGAAAACATTTACAACCAAGACGTAGACAGTTATTAATACCTACTACCAAGGCTACCAATACCTACTACCAATACTACCAAGACGTAGACAGTTATTAATACCTACCAATGCAACTTCTCTAAAGCAAGCCCTGATATAAACTAAGATATAAGCTTGATGCTGGCAATCCTTTAGACGCTTTAGGCGGCCCGTGCTTGATCCGGACCGTACCTAAATAACCAAACAAGTAAGCATTCTCTTTGGCGATTTTTTTCGGCATTGCTTGGAATCGGCCAAACGTGTCTATTGCCGGCGTTACTATCGGGCGGCAAGGAAAGTGTCTACAGTGCCTCAGCCAGGTGTCTCGAGTACCGCTCACTTATCGGCCGTTCCGCTTCAAGGTCCCTCGCTGGCCGTGACTGGGACAGTTAGTTCGGGACACGTCCAAATCCCCTGGAATGGCGCTGTTTCGAGAGACCGGGGTTGTGACGACACCGCGACAACGCCCGTCCCCACCGCCCTCCCTCCCCTCTATTCCCTGGCAGAACAGGACATTCAGTGAAACTTACTGGCTATCTTATCGGCACATCCTCTTTGTATAAATGGCTGCCAGTGCCATGGGCTGCAACACACCGAGGATCAAAGCAGCCAAATCACTGATTGGCAGTTTCCTGCTCGGTTGACAGGTGGCAGCATCAGCGCCCCATTCCGTCCAGGACCATGTCGGTTGAATCGTGCCTGCACTGGGAGTGGGAGGACAGCAGACCCCCATCCCCGCAACACAGGTGAGGAACAAAGAGCTCCAGGTTTTTTGGGGAGTACTGTTGGCCGATAATTTTGCCAATTATGTGACATCAGACTTAATTTGGACTTTGTTTTGACTTGTCCTGTTCCTTGGGTGCTACATTTTATTGATTTAAATAGTTTTCTTGAGTTGTGTGGTTTTCATGATGTCCATGGAAGAACGTGATTGCCTGCGGCTGCGTTCAGGAGCACTTTCTTCACCTCACTGTTGGTCTCAAGTGCTAATAACTTTTTTCAGATACAAATCGGAGTTTCATCTGCAGCCCCGCTGCGTCCCAACCGGCTACGGAAGCACTGTCCTTCGTAGGAAGGACTCAACGTGGAGGAGGTTCGTCGAGGAAGTCCGATTCGAGGTCAGTGGTGTTTTAGATTTGTACTTGTACTGGTCAAAAGTGGTCGTGGGTAAGAACTAACAAGCCCAGTCCACAGTTCAGGAGAGATTCTCATTGCTCATGTTTCACATTTGAAAAACTGTTTTGCAGAAATGTCTGGTTCCGGACCATTCACCAAAGCCGCCAAGAGCGTGCTCCCCACCGCCAACGCCGACTGTACCCACAACACCCACTGCAGCACCCACTGCAGCAGCAACTGCAGCACCGGCCCCAGGCCCGCCGCCAGCGCCGCCACGCCGCTACCGGTCCGAGCTCGAAGTGTGGATCTCGGGCGGCCCTCGCCTGGCGGGCAGGCAGCCCAACGCACACGCCGTGGAGGCGTCTGCCTAGCTCGCGGGCGCAGCATTCGCCCCTGGCGGGCACGATCTTGGCGACGAGCTCCGCGAGCGCGCGATCCGCTATTTTACAGTGGCTATCAGGTCGCGTGCGTGACTAGTTCCGAGCACAGTGACTTATGCGAGGGAAAGAAGCCATCGCACCGCAGCCTCCCTGTCTCTCTCGCACTCACGGGGCGTCCCGCTGGCGTGCGAGAGAGACACGCCGGCGAAACGCGGTCCAGAATCGGTCTGCTGGAGCGTCAAAACAGAACGGTGTTTTGGCGCGGGAGGCCACAGACCGCGGGGCGATATGTTAGTAAATACAACAAGGGGTGTCCGGTGGGCTTTCTTCGGGCGCCTCGCGTCCGGGGCGTCCGGGTGGCCGGGGCAATGGTCCGTGATGGCCGATAGCCTCACACACATCTTGGCACGGCGCCGCGACCTAACCTTTCCGTCCTCTGTCCTTTCATTATTTCTGCTACATTTCTACCACGAGTGTGGAGCCGAGCCGAGCAGGGAACGCCCACGACGGCCCCGGGACCGGCGACTGAAACCTCCAACTCCAGTGACGATTGATTCAGTAGGATGTTTAGCAAAACTGTTCGAAGCAAAATACATGACATGCTTGATTTTCAAATAGAGTTCTATTCCTTCACCCACGCCCACTTGAAAGTACGTACGCCTGTCTCGTGTCAAATGTGGCAGTCATTTCGTCGAACAGCCAACGTTTTTGTCGAAAAGGACCCACAACAAACAGCAGCAGCACAAAACAGCAACAGTGGATGGATGCGGAGCTGAATCTATTTACCCACCCGCACACGCACGCACTCACTTTTTGCTTCCAGTTTTTCAAAGCTGACGCTCTGCACGCCACCAACCCGCTCAAACAGACCCTGGGGCTCGGCTGATACAATTTTGGCGCCTCGTGGCGGAAGCAAACTGATTCGTCCATCCCCAAAAAAGCAACGAACAAAAAACAAAACGCAAAACAAAAATGTGGGAATGAGGGCGGGATCGCGGCGGGGACCATTCATGCCGCAGTCTCGCCGCGACGCGCCTCGCAGCGCCACGCGACGGCGTCCTTACCGACTTTACGAGGCCACGGCTTCATCTCGGACACGCCATAAGAGCGCCGTAAAAACGGAAAGCGTTGCAACGGCCGGAATAACCGCACCGCGTCCCATCGCGCCGCCGAGTGACATAAGTAAAGCGCGACAGTCTCATCCCGGGGGGACTGTTTGTAAGCCGCGAGACGGACGACACACAGTGGGCCAGAAGACCGGGTGGAGGCGGCCAAAACTCTAGACGCGTTTTGAGCTCCAGAGTCGCTAAAAACGCCTCGAACCGAACGTGTGACCCCCACCAATGGATTCCTCGTTCGGAGAGCAATCCATCGGTGGGGTCACAAGTTCGGTTCGAGTCCCATTTAGCAACTCTGGAGCTCAAAACGCTTCTAGAGTTTTGGCCGCCTCCACCGGTCTTCTGGCCCACTGTGCGACGCGGAGGCAAAAAGTTACAGAGAAATCTGTTCACAACTTATGATGATTCTTCGTACCGAGCATTCAAAATTTTCCCCAGCTTTCTTGTCAATATTCTCCGTAAGACTCAGAGTCTTCTCCGTGCACCTCATTGGTTGGTGTGCAACGGGCATGCGGAAAATACTGTAAGTCCTCCGAAGAATATTGATGAAAGGCTACGGAAAATGTTGCCACAGTGGGCCCTCTATAGTGCCAACTTGACAAAGTGAAATTCTAACGTTACAGTATGACTTAAATATACGCGTATCTCGTGAACGTTGAGCGGTAGGAATGTTTTCCATAAGACATTCAGGTTGGGAAACCAAATTTACAGAGTAATTGATCCAACACGTGTCGTTGATAACGATGACCGTTTAAGAGGTAAAGGCGTTTAAAGACGGGACGTTTTTGGGGGGAATTTTGTTCTATTTGCGATGTAAGGCCTTAGTTTTACCCGATTCTACCGATTCTTCACCAACTTCGCGATATTTACAGACGGTCCCCTGCAAGGTTGGCAGCACTGCCGATGTTGCGCTGGGCCCTTGATTGTTCTGGGAACGTCTCGACAGCTCCAGTTCGGCGGCGCCGTGGCGTGGCTGGGGCCATCTCGCCGCGCAGACAAACAAATGACCCACGACGGACGTCGTCGAGTACTTCGGGAAGCACTTCTGCTTCTGCTTCTTCTTCTTCTTCTTCTTCTTCTTCTTCTTCTTCTTCTTCTTCTTCTTCTTCTTCTTCTTCTTCTTCGAAGTCTTCGTGGTCATCTTGGTCGTCGGTCCTCTCCACGTCGTCGTCCTTTTCCTTCTCATCATGCACCTCCTCCTCTTCTTCCTCCTCATCCTTCTCTTTCTCGTCCTTTTCCTCCTCCTCCTTCTCCTCCTTTTCTTCCTCTTCCTCCTCCTCCTCTATCTTCTAGTGCCACACCGCTGCAAAATTCAAGCCCTCCTCGCACGTGATTTGCATGCGTCGCCTCGTCCCCTCCGTTTTCTTTGCCATCATTCCCCCCCCTCTTGGTTTTTGCCACGTGCGCGTCGCAAATGACGGCAACGGGAAAAGTGACGGTGGCGTGACGACGTCTATGACGTCACTCGCTCCGACACGTGGGTGTGCGTATGGGCAGTCTACGCAGGCCACGGGGCGCCGGGAGGGTAGGCAACCCACCGGTCTTCCCACCCTTCGGCCTGTGAAGTCTTGAACTTGAACTCGAGAGGCTAGTCCGCAGTCCTGGTACAGTGTGGCTAATCGTGGGACAGTAGGAGACATTTCGAGCGCACTACCTTCAGGTTGACTGCAAATCCAAACGCTTTGAGTACACGGCGTCGTAAGGCGCCGGGTGGGTAGGCAACCCATCCACCTCGCCACCCTACAGTCGTCGGCAGATTACAGTGAGCCCAGCAAATCGCGGCACAGACTGTGCACACTTTCCTCACGTTGACAGCAAGTCCAAACGCTTCATAGCATCGATTGAGGCAGCTTTCGCATCGCAAGAGAACTACAATGCCCTCCCTCATGCATTAGCAAAAGGCATTTTTGGGGACGCACTGCACGTGCTATGGCATTGATCGCATGGTGAACTCCCAGCCTCACGGTGAAGGGTTCTCAGTAACTCATAGTCCGTTTAGCAACAACAAATTTCTCACAATAATCATGCTAGTATCGCCCAGTACTGAGAAACAGGTTTAGTACCACCATGACCGCCAACAATAATTCTCTGGTCGAAAAAGTGCGAGGGTGCATGGCGTATGATCGTGGCTCGTCCCCAAGTCCTCCACTGCCAGCTCGAGGACAACGCGTTCCAGACAAGGTAACCCCGGGAAAGTGGGTGGGAACGCGACGAGCAGCGCTGCAGCGTCGCCACTTCTTCCGTCGCACCACTGGTATTCCGAGAGACATTTTCGTCCTTGTTTTCGTCGGTCTGTCTCTCACGCACCCTTCGGGCGTCCCGTCCGTAGATGCAAGAGAGACAGAGCGACGAGAACGACTCTCGGCATCAGTGTACCGGGCCGCCTAAGGTAGGGACCCACGAACATTCATCGAGTATGCAATTTGAAAACAACATCGGATTTTATGCGAAGTTACAGTTGTTGCGGTACACTGTAAATGTCTTACGGTGAAAGGCTGCACCGACACATTATGGTGGAGATTTTCTCCATAGTACCAACGAAATTCGTCAAAATATCAGTAAGGTACTGTGAATTCTCAATGGTATGTTACGAAGTCAGCTGCACCACCATAATATGGAACATTTTCACCATAATATGGAGAATCTTCGCTGTACACACTAAATGCTATGTACAATTTTGTACGAGACATCGCAGTTTTTTGTGCACACGAAATTTTCGTACAATTTTCATTTGAAAAACTGCACAATTTTCGCCATTTTCGTACAATATGGTACGAAATTTTGTACAAATTTGTACGAAAAGTTCGTGTGCACAAAAAACTGTGATGTCTCGTACAAAATTTGTACAAAAACATTTAGTGTGTGCAACATTTAGCGTGTATGTGCTGCACGGACACTGCAGAACGGCGCCGACGGCGGCGTTCGAATTTCTCATACGTGTCCGCGAGTGCACCGGTTACTGTTTCGTGGTTCCGTGAAGTTGATTGGAATTCCCCGAAGGCGAGTGGCGGCGTCCGTTCGGCGGCGCCGCGGCCCTTTCGGAAGCAGTCCTGCGCCACGAGAACCGCCGCGCCGCGCCAAGAGGACTGGGCGTCCTTTTCGTCGCTCTGTCTCTCTCGCACTCATGGGGCGTCCCGTAAGTGTGCGAGAGAGACAGAGCGACGAAAAGGACTCTCGGTCCTTGTTGTGCTCGCCGCGTCCCGCCAAAACGAAGCGACGCCATTCTTGTAGCGTTGCGGACAAACAGTGAGCAGGCTGCTTCCCGGCAGTGTCGCTCCGTCTCTGTCGCACCCGTGGGGCTTCCCTGAAGGTGTGAGAGAGACAGAGAGTGACTCTGTACGGAAGCGGCCCGCAAGACTGACGCACCTCGGCAGGTCGGGTCTGTAATGCGACTTCGCGGGTTAATGATTCGCGCCCGGAAGAAATGGCGAGCTATTTCGGCCGAGGCGCGGCAACACTCGGCAAACTAATTCCGAGCGTCTTTGTCGCTCTGTCTCTCTCGCACCAGAATGGGACTCGCCGCGAGTGCGAGAGAGACAGCGCGACGAAAACGACTCTCGGATTGAGTCCGCTGGCCCGCTTTTCGCTTCTTGCGTGTTGGCGTGCTGACTGACAGTGACGCGGATTGACATTGAACCCGCGGTGTCGCGGTGTTGTGATTGCAGCGCACTTATAGTGTGCGCTCCGCTGCCGGCCTGCCGGTGTCACAGTGCGAAGAAGCTCGAGGAATCGCCGCAGAGATAAGCAAGCCCGCCTGACTCACGCAACACGCGTGCGTGCCACGCGACGCACAGTGCCAGAAGACCGCGGTGGAGGAGGAGGTCGAACTCCGGAACGCGTTTTGAGCTCCAGTCCAGAGTCGCTAAATGGGACTCGAACACTCTTAAAAGCCTACGAAGCATTTGCTTCATAACTGCAAAGAAAATGAAGGCATTGCAGAATTGCTTCGTACACTGTGGCTAAAAGCTACGGAAAATACTTTAAACAGCTTGTGGTAATTCTCCGTAGCCCCCTTGTCAGTATTCTCCGTAGGCTCTTACAGTATTTTCCGTAGGACCGCACAGTATTCTCTGTAGGACCTTACAGTGATCTCCGTAGGACTATACAGTCTTCCATGCCCTATGGAGAAGACTGTGCGGACTTACAGAGAATACTGTGCGGCCCTACGGAGAATACTGTAAGAGCCTACGGAGAATCTTGATAAGAGGGCTACGGAGAATCCTGGCAAAAAAATTAACAGAATTTTCCGTACCTTTTTGCCACAGTGTATTACGAAGAAATGCTTCGTATTACGAAGGATTTTGCTTCATAATACGAAACATTTCTTTGTAGATTTTACAATGCCTTCATTTTCTTCGTATTACGAAGCGACTCTTCGCAGACTTTTAACTGTGAACCGAACGTGTGACCCCACTATTGGATTGCTCTCCGAACGAGGAATCCATTGGTGGGATCATACGTTGGGTTCGAGTCCTATTTAGCAAACGCGTCTAGAGTTTTGGGCGCCGGTCTTCGGACCACTGTGTCACGGCTACGTGAAAATTTTGATTTAAATCCACCGCGCCAAGAGTTGCGGGTGCTACTCGGTCGGGGGAAAAGGGGGCTTCTGTTAGTACAGTGTTGCGACAAGGCATCGCCTGAGGCGTCTACCACACCCTCCTCAAACGCGCGGACCGCAGAGCGTACTCTACATACAGTATCTGGGCTTTGACCCGCGGTGCGGTGCGCGTCGTCATAATGAATGCCAAAATTTAAAAGCCGAGTTTGCCGCGCCGGCCGTGGTGGTCTTCCCTCTCCCAGCGCCAGGCTCGGCACTGTACTATCGTGTCGCGCCTCCCCGGCGGTGGTGTGTGGTGTGTGTGTGTGTGTGTGTGTGTGTGTGTGTGTGTGTGTGTGGTGTGTGTTTTCCCCGAGTTGAGGGGAAAAATCTAGTGGTACCGCAGCGTAAGCGCATTTTTTGAAGCGTACTACTAGCTTACGCCAATATTTCGTAGCATGCAGGTTCAAAGAGCAGCCCCGACACTTTTGCCTCAGTGTGCTTCGAGGGAGAGAGCCAACGTTTTCAGGTAAGCATCAGAATCGAATCACCTTCCGCCTACTTGGAGGCGGGTTGTAAGACAAGTTGCCTATCTAACGGGGGCTGACATGAATGAGATGGGTCGCGGCAAACAACACGCCCGCACCATTCCCTCAACCCCCTCTTGCCTATCAGGCACAGAGTGTGGCAGCACTGCATACCTCTAATTTTGCCGCGGGGTTTTTGGCCCACCAGCGGGTCAACCGATCCTCGCGCCGCGGTGGTCACCGGGGAGTTGCGCCCTACATGCGGTTGACGCCACCGCCTTCTGGAACGCGGTGCACCGCGGTGCTTCCCCCTCCCCCCTCCCCAGGTATGCCGCGCCGTCGACGTCCACCTGTTGCATGGCGGGCCGGGCGGTTCGGCGGGCCTTTGCGCCAAACGACGTGTCCAACGTCTGCCTCGCGGAGTGGCCGCGGCGAGCGCTGCGGGCGCGGGGCGGCGGGTGCGGGGCGGGGTGCGGCAGAAGATCAGGCGGTGCAGCGCGCGCGCCCATTGGTCGGCGTCCGGGGCGCGGGGAGGCGCGGGAAGCGGCGCTCTGGCAGGGAGCCCCCGTGCCGCCGCACCGCGCCAGCCGCGCCGGCCCCAAGAGCTCGAGGACGCCAAGCCGAGCCGGCCGAGGCGAGCAGGGCCAGGACGCCGCCAGCCCGGTCCACCTAGTCGGCCCGCACCCTCCACTGCGCGCGCAGCTCCGCGACAGCGTCGCACGCGGCGGCCGGTACACGCGGAGCATCGCGGGGCGCGTCCTCCTCGACGTCGTGCAGTGCGTCTCCGCGTCCGTGTCAGTCAGTTCGCGCGTGCGTGTGTGTGTGTGTGTTTGTGTCAGTGAGTGACAGGGGGAGTGGCGTGGTGGCGGCGGAGGTATAATGTACCTCAGCTCGCCGTCGGTACGCGGCCTCCCCGCCCTGCCGGCCGTCCTGCTCGTGGCCCTGGTCGGCCTGCTGCAGACCCTGCAGGCGCGCGGCGCCCGCCACCTCGAGGACTTCGAGCAGGGCCTCAGCAACAGCCTGAGCGGGCTGGGCCAAGGGCTGGGCCCCGCGCTGAGCCCCGTCAGGAGCTTCATCGCCACGGACGCACTGGCGGACGGTGAGCGGGAGCGACGGATACACGCCCACGGGATTACCGCCAAGGAGACGACCATCGGTACCGCCGACAAGTGAGTGCAACAACAGCGCATTTCCAATGGGTTTCGAAGCGACTTACGCCCTTTTGACAAACGGGCAACGAAGTCCGGGACACTCTGCAAAATCAAGAGGTGCATGGCATGCTCCACCTGGAAGTCAACCACACCACAAAGCACTCCACCCTGGGGAGGAATTACAAACGTGTTCCACCCTGGACCGTACTTGTCTTGGATGCTCCAGAGCGTCCCGGGGGGACTGCACTTGTGAAGTGCAACTTAGCTCAGTTCAAGACCGCAGGACAACTATTGAACGTCTCGAGCACTCCCCAGGATGCGTGCTTCGAGGTCGACTCCCAGGAGAAGCATGCCAGCCTTGCACTCTCTTCACTTTCTAGAGCATGTTGGCAGCCTAGTCAGCATGGCGCGAACCATTTAGTCACACAGAACATGATCCCCCCTCTGAATCTCGACTCGAAAACACTCGGACCGTGAAGCAGAAACGCAGCAAGGATTCCTCCTGTGGTTGTCTCCGTTGTCGCACACCCGGCTCCGGCCCGAGAGATTGGAATGGAATAAGCCGGGTGTTGAAAGGTCATGAGCCTCCCCTCGAAGCCACCATACAGCGCCGAATCAGCAGTCCCACTTCATCAAATTCCCTCCGGACAAACACCTCACGGTAATAATGGTTCCTGGTTTTCCCAGGAACTCCCTGGAAATCGCCAATGCCTTCACCATCGGCTTCCTGGGAAAACCAGGTTCCGTTTTTACCGTGCTGGCCAAATTTTGACACCACGGAATTGAAGGTGAAATGAACCAATGAACCGATCAGGCCACCGCTTCCCACAACCCTTCGCTCGCTGGGTCAGCAGCGGCCCGTCACCTGAGCGCTACGTGCTGGCTGCCGGGCCGCCAAGCTGCCGGCTAGCTCATATAGGTCAGGCCGGCGGCGCCGAGCGCACAGTGGGCCAGCCAGAAGACCGGTGGGGCGGCCAAACTTCTAGACGCGTTTTGAGCTCCAGAGTCGCTGAACAGGGCTCGAAGCGAACGTGTGACCCCACCAATGGATTTCTCGTTCTGAGAGCCGTCCATTGGTGGGGTCACACGTTCTGTTCGAGTCCCATTTAGCCACTCTGGAGCTCAAAACGCGTCTAGAATTTTGGCCGCCTCACCGGCCTTCTGGCCCACTGTGGAGCGGCCGGCGAGCGCGATGCGCGCAGGGTGCGGTGCCATCCGTGTCGTAAGTGGAAAGTCCGGCAGAAACCTCCAGACGCGAGGCGACCGCACATGAATGACGGGGTGGCTGAATGAGCACGACGAGCATGGCCCTGCATGGCACTGCATGGCCCAGTGGTGGAACGGAAGGTCACGGCTGCAGCCCCCGCGGCCCGAGTCCGTCTCTCTGTCTCTCTCGCACCCCTCCGGCGCCCCGCGGCCCCCACGAGTGCGAGGGAGACGGAGAGACGCCACTCGGCGGCAGCCCACTGCCACCTGCCGCCCTCTCTGCAGATTGCTTTTCGTAACGCGATTACCCGCGGAAGCGACGTGGAGGCCGTCGGGGCGACCCCGACCCGCCCCAATATCCCGGCAGCACAGCCCAGCGCGGCCCAGCCACCCCCGTGACAATTAGTGGCAATGCCTCGGTCTCGCCGGGCAGGTGGCTGAGGCACTGCAAGGCAAGATCGGGGCGACCCCGACCACGGCCGCTGCCAAGGCACCGCGCTGTGGACTGATCCCCAGATTCCGAGGGTGGTTTCCGTCGCTCTGTCTCTCTCGCACTCATGGGGCGTCCCGAGATGGTGCGAGAGAGACAGAGCAGCAGCAGGACTCTCTCGGAATCAGTCTACCGCACTGCCGCAAGGGACTGCCCCTGCCGTGACGGACTGTCTCGCTGTCGCGCTGCATGCCAGGGTTGGGGTTGGAGTGGACGGGGCGAGCACACTAGAAGTCCCCTTGTACAGTTCCTGTCCGTGGTCTCTTACAAATTTTTCGCCAGTGCACTTGGCGTAAAAGAAAGATCGCGTCCTAGACCCCGCGGCTAAATCGGCGGTGTGAACACGGCGGCGGCGCTAGGACGCGACGCACTGCGAGTCATGTACCCGTGTTCCATGACGCTGCCGCCACGCTATCGTTGATGTGGTCCAGCATGGTGGCAAGGCACGCCACGCCACAACGTTGTCGTTTTATTTTTAGCGGCAATGCGTGCTGGGCCAGTCAAACTGGACGGAGGCCTCGCCGCCCAGCAGGCCGCGTCCGAACCGTGCATTCGTCGCTCCGTCTCTCTCTCACGCTCCACGGAGTCCTGGAGGCACCGAAAGCGTTTTTCGGAGTCGGACCGCCGCCGCCCGGATCGACCCGACCGGCTTTCGGAAAATGATTTCGTCTGGGCGAGTGAAGCCGGGCCGCCGAAGCCAGTCCAAATCACTCATGGCCGATGCACGATGCACTTGGCGCGCCGCGCACACTGGTAAAACTAAAGTGTAGTATTACCCTCTGTTTTCAAGCGTAATCAGTTTACGCTTGAAATCAAGCGTAACAGGCTCATCCGCCAAGATTCCCCCTACCTAAATGCATGGGGGAATTTCCAGAGTATGCCTCATTTCAAGCGTAACGTCTTCAAGCGTAACTTTATGCTTGACTCAAGCATAGAGTTACGCTTTTGTTTTACCAGTGCAGAGATCGGCGGCCTGCTTACACAATTAGCCCCGGCCCGGTTACACTTTCCGACGTTCATTTCGATGCCGATTGCATTTTTGATGCATTGGAAACGGACCCACAATCAAACCGAGCGGTAGTTGTCATCGAACTCCCGCCGCGCCCCGGCTGGGGAAAGGTCGAGTTCCTTTCTAGCCGGCCCGTCCGTCCTGTCGAAAGTGACAGACACCCCGGCAGCCAAGTCCGATTCCGGGACCTCGTCGCGCTGTCTCTCTCGCACCCCTGGACGGGACGCCCCAAGAGTGCGAGAGAGACAGACGGTGTGACGGCGTGCATGACGGCGCGACTTTCCTCCTCGCGAATTTGAAACCGGTTCCCGTTGGCGCGCCGAGCGCTTCGCCTAGCATGGCTTCGCAAAGTTCCGCAACGTTCCTAAGTCCGCAACCAGCCCGGCGCCTCCCGCTGCGGCGCCACTGCCGGAACGGTGGGCCCAGTCGTGAAAAAAAAACAACAACAACAAAACACAAATTTTAAATTTTGAACTTTTTTTAAAATTTTTCCCGCTGCGGCTTTATAGCCGGAAATGTGGACCAAGTCTTGGAAAAAATAATACAAATCTCAATTTTTTAAATTCTTTTATGCTTAACTTTAAAATCTTGTAATTTCTTCAGTTATGCCTTTTAACTGTACAACTTTTTAAAAACTCTACGTTATCTGAATATTTTTTTTTAAATGACCTAAAAATGTTTGGCGTGGTTGCTGATTGGTTGCAGGCTGATTGGTTGCCTTGAAAGAAGGCCATAAGAGTGAGTTAACCTTTTCCGAGCACACTTTTCCCATTTCCAGAGTGCGGGCGCCTCGAATGTTAATGAGCTGCACATCGATACGCGTGCGTTGCGCGTTGCCACAGTCGACTCTAAGTTTTTTGATTTATTTTCCCCAATAAGGAACGTGGTGTGCTAAGTCAGTTCGATGTTGCCAGCCTGGAAGCCTGGTCATCCCTCTGGCGTGCTTCTGGCGTGAGCAGGGACCATCGACGCGGGAGCCACCTGTCTTAAATTTGCCACCCGATAGCATTGCGATGGGAGCGTGTCAGAGGTGGCACCCGTCCACCGTAAACTCGACGCGTGGCCGTGGGACGCGAAGCGAAACCGCGGAATGCAAGCCCCAGTACTAATTCGGAATCTTGATGAAAAAGAGTAACTTTTTTTCAAGGTGTACCAAAAACAACACAACACCTATAAACATGTCCAACAAATCTAATTGACAAAGTCGTTCCTATCAGTCAAAATCTAAATTTTAAGGCAAACTAATTTGTGAAATTTGCATCCGAATACAATTAGAAATCCCAGAAATCCCTAGCGCACAAAACATCCTTTGTGGACTACAAAACTCCCTCAAAACCTCCCCCTTGCGCATTTTGGTGTAATTATCCCACCTACCTTCAGGAATCATTTCTGCCTCGGAGCTTTTTCCAACTTCGGATCAATTTGCATCAATTCCCGTTCCGCAAAGCACGCACTGGAGTCGCCGACTCGCCGCCTCGTTGCGAAAATTGAACAAAATGCATCCACCTCGTTTGGCTTGATAACGATCCAAAGGTAACGGCAATCTCTGTCGCTAATCTCGCCAATGGCGTGGTAATCGCCAATCGCCTTACGCAACCACCCTGTCGTGCATCGCCTGATGCACTTTTTTGTTTTTTGAGAAAAATAATTTACATTCCTGATCTGGCAGACTGTCACCGAGCATGATTGATCCATTGGAAAGGTTTATCGAGTGGCGGTCCCCGAATTTGTACTAGCACGCGCCACACGGGTCCAATATCTAATCTCGTCCACGTCGTGCGCCTTCAGTGCAAGATGCACTGCAAGTGCATTTGTACGCGCAGTGGAGCCGGATATTACTTTTCCAAGAAACGAGTCTCTATCATCCAAACTCTTAGAAGTACCTAAAAAAATTAACTTCCAGTATCTTTCTGGGAATTAATGTGACTTTTTCAAAGTGTCACCAATTTTGTTTTCAAAATGAATAACAAATTAATTTAACTTCTCAACTTCTTTCGTGACGATATAATAATGACAATTTTCAGAACTTACTTCAAAATTTTACATTTTACTTACAGATTTAAACGGCCTTCTCTTCGGAGACGGTTGTGTCCTCGTGCAATTTCACCAAATTGTCCACCTTCACTGTGCGAAATAGTACCTCTGATGTTCCGCTCGTAATTGGTCGCACGAAAAAATGTAATCGCACACGATGCGACGCGTGTTAGAGGTGGTGCGGTGAGTTTGAGGCGGCGTGGCGGCCTGTTCTCAGCATGACTAGACGAAATGCGAAAAACTCGCGACGACGCCATGCGCCATGCGGTCTGCGGCGGC